CGGGGGGGGGTGGCTCTTCCAAAAATAGAAAGTGGTTGCTTCTCAGAAGTAGTCTGGAAGAAAGGGGCTGACCGGTAGCGCCATTTATCGAGATTCGATTTTGCTGTATGTTGATTACTATCCTCTCGGCATAGAAACCCGTATACTGACATTTTACGAAATGAGTATATGGTTATATTAGAAGCTGTCATAAATTGTTTTGTGTCCATTTGGCAACGATAGCCTTCTGGTTGTGAGAAGCAGCTTTGGCAGCACTTGGGCCATGTCAGGACATGCACATTAGTACTCCCAACAAAATGTATTTACAACATTGCTTTTACAGAATGATGAACGACATGTTGAAAATCGAGCCAGCCGATGTTCTTCTCGTCGAAGGCATACTCGTTCTGTACTGCAGTGAAATTCGCGACGTGCTCGACATGAAGCTGTTCGTTGACATTGATGCGGACACAAGGCTATCCAAGCGAGGTATAACTTTGGGGAAATATCGTTCATTACTCGCCGTTTCAGTGTTAAGAGACATCAACGAAAGAGGGCGAGATTTGGAGACGATTTTGTACCAGTATTTGCATTACGTTAAACCTGCTTATGAGGAGTTTTGCCTACCGGTAAGAATGACATCTTGAGGTGAACTAAGCTCGTCCTATCTCTACCTCGCTGTTTTGAGACGAAGAAATACGCTGACGTGATAATTCCTTCGGGCGGCAACAACCCAGTAGCACTTCAGCTGATTGTACAGCACATCCAGGAAATTTTGCGATCACCGTCTTCGCCACCTTCATCGACTCAGCCTGAAACTTCACTGCGTAGCCGTCACATCAGCGAGTCGTTCGTCGTGCGGCCTCATTGATCGAGATTATTGGTCGCTTTCGATACCGGTTCCAGCGTGAAGCTTCTTGCAGTGGAGTAATAGTTACTCCTTAAGACATTTTAGTCTGTGGAAGCTTCCTTTTGAATGCTGTATTTGTATTTATGAATATTTATAGATTTTTGCGTCATAAAATAAACTTTTCTGGTGCCTGTCTTTTTTATGCGTCTAAGCTCATCTGTCCCGCTTTGTCTGTCTCCTACCATTGCTTATGATTGTTTGTTCTAAGTTTTGCTATTTTGTTGTGAGACTGCACATGCAGTCATTCCTGACGTTGGTCGTTAGCTGATCAAAGCCCGTGGCCTGGTTGGCTTGACGGGAATGTAGTTAACCGCGCACAGTTTACTTCTTGGCAACCTTTGCCGAGGCACGTCGTCCATGCGAGAGCATGGCGTATGTAGCGGTGCCTAACATTTTGGTATCACAGTTTCTGTTTAAGGACATTCTGTAATTTTACATATATAGTAAAAATTGCTGGTGGGCAATTCGTCGCTGATTCTCATAGCTATGAGCAAGTAGTCTGCTGGATGTTTATGCTTTCATTAAGAGAAAAATATTTGTTGATGTGGACGTTTTAGAAGTTGCTGCCTGCATGCTTGTGCGAAGCAAGTTAAAGTAGGCGGATCGAAAGGTCTACAGCTTCGTTTTGAATACTCTAAACAGCCTTTTTTAACAGTCAAGAGCAAGAATTCTGTTTGGGCAATTTTCTGAGAGTGCAGATTTGCTCTGCTTACGACCAAGGATCGTTGTTGACAGTTAATGATTTAATGGATCCAATGTGAATCTCTGTCAGATACAGGCAGGTGTACACCATATGCTTTGATCGTACCCACAGCGGCATTTCTTGTGGTCACTGTGAGAATATCAAGGTAGCATGAGTTATTCCATGTCTTTGTTGCCAAAGTATTATGGCTTACCGTTGCTTTTGGTACTGTTACAATTTATTAATAATGTGTATTTCCTGTCTCTAAGTGATTCTTCGAATGATAAAACTGTTTTGTTAAAAACAGCATACGCATATGTTGACGATTGCTCGGATGTAAAGCACCGAGTATTTGTGTCTCTAGAACAAATCTGACAAAACATTGCTTAATTTTAAAGAATCATTACTTAACATGAATCTGGTATTCGCCAAGGGCTTAGTGACACAGGGTTTCGACATCGTTGCGATTACTTCGAAAACGCAATACCTGCGTCCTGCATGCCACGCTCAATATTAAATTGATGCTTACTAAGCTTAGCTATATTTTTGCTTCATGGGAAACAGAAGTTAAATTTTCTTAGGTCGTTTCTTGGGAAAGTTGGCAGTTGAACTGTGTCATGTTTAAGCAACCAGTTGATTTGGTATTTTTGATTCAGTATATCTCTTCTTTGATTTGAACGCCTAACTGATAAGTTAGTTTGACAGATATCGACTTAAGTCACCTTGTTTGTTTTTCGTCCTTACCGTATTGAATTTTAAAAGATATTCGGAGTAAAATATATTATGGCCTTGTAACTGCTACTTTTTTCCAGTCATGCGATAGCGGTGATCGCTGTTCGTTTCTTTCAGCACATTGAATTTTTTCGGCATCAGTCTTCTCACCATAACGCTGGACGTAGATCGATGAGTCGTCCGGAGAGATACACCGACAATGATGGGACGTTCGGACTTTTTAGGGAAGTGAACACAGGGAATAAGAAGCCTTGTAGGGCATGTATGGATTTCAAATCATGGATGGCGCAGAAGCATGGTACTGCTAATATGTCAGAGTCGTCTGGTGCTGATCATACTAATGAAAATGCGGACGCTGCGAGCAGTAGTCGAAAATGCGATTGTCCATTGGACAGAGACGAACTGGGACGAAACACGTGGAGCTTACTGCATTCAATAGCTGCGTACTATCCAGATAACCCACCGGAGGAGCGACGCCAGGGCGTCGACGAGTTCATGCGTTCCCTGAGCGTTCTGTATCCATGCGACTACTGCGCCAAAGACCTGAAAGCAGAGCTAAAACGCAAACCACCGCAGACTGCATCGAGGGAAGCGCTTTCAAAATGGATGTGTGATTTGCATAACTCGGTTAACGCGAAATTAGGCAAACAATTGTTTGACTGCTCTCTGATCGATCAGCGCTGGAAAGACGGCTGGGCTGACGGCCGATGTGATTAGTTCGTTTATTAGGGTTCATTCGATGTGATTCTGTTGTTATGTGTTGCAAAAATAAAGCAAATAAAGAATTGTTTATTTTTAGTCATAGCCGTTACCGAGCAGACTCTGACCGATCTATGCCCTTTTCGAAAGCTAAGTTGTCGACGCTTACGGCTGACGCCGAAAAGAAAACGTTTCGGGTGATCTTAGATATGATAGTGGCTGACTCAGAAATGCAAACAATGCGGTAAATATCAAGGAGAGCAATGTCTCATTTTGACCGCGGATGAATATTTAGGTTTTCGCGTCGGGACCTAAAAAGTACCATTCGATCCCTGACTGCCGGTTCATCAATGCCTAATGCATTGACTTTGGAAGTGAAATTTATGGAGATAAAACCTGGAAAAGACACAGAAGTAAAAGCGACTGCGTGGTCTATTTGTATTTTTACTGTATTTCCGCCTTTATGCATTTGCTATATTTTCGTGCAATGCCATAATTCATTTTCAGTGTCCGCTATTCTCTTCTAATCGGAGAGGATGCATTTATAATAGTACCTCTTTGCCCGGTAAGCAAGCTAAATGGTCTGCGTTCCTAGATATGACATTTTCAGGTTTTATGTGCAATTAAGCCACCTTATCTACAATCTGCCACTGAGTCATCTCAGTAGCGTCGCCACAATGCGCTGTGAGAGTCACTCTTATCGCATCATTATCATTATCGCATGTCCAAATCAAATCATTGTGAACCCTCGGCCTGGAGAAGGAGCCGCTCAAGAGAAGGTATGTCGAATCAGTTTGTCGAAGTTTATAAGGTCTCATCATACAGCGGTTCTTTGAACAAACATCATTTTTGCCACTTGTCTTTTTTAATCGCGTTCTTTCGATAACACTCCCGCACTGCTGAATGTAGGTGAGGGCGATTACTTACACACGCTGGAAGGCAGCTTCACACTACTGCTCAGCTCCTTCATAACTGGTTTACTATCACCCTATGTCTGGTAAAGAATCATCTGCCACTGTTTTCTTTCCGGTGAACCTTATTTAAATCAGCAAAGTTAACGGAGTTATATGCCTAACATTAGACAGGAAATCAACATTTTATAGGTCGTTCATTCTGCCATATGCTCATGTCTCAACAGTCGCGGTTATTACGTCCTCGAAAAACGTTGTGCTCAGAATTCTAGTGTGATGTAACGTGAAAAAAGGAATGTTTGTAACCGATGGGATGTCGATCTTCCTTAAATTTCCATGATTAAAGTCGACTGTTGCGCTGTTCGTTTCATGAAGGTTATGCTGCAGCTCTGCTCTCCGTTTTTATGCTATCAGCCAGGTATGCGTTATTTTTACGGTAGAATCTACGGCTGCAAGCATAATGTGCAATCTGTTTCCTTCCCATAGAATGGTAGTCACCTGCCACAGAAGGAAGAAAGACGAGTGAACCGACCGACCAAACCCGGAACCTATCGGTTTTGAACCTGACATTCTACCGACTGAACAACCCCTTTCTATATCATAGAAATATCAATTGCATCATCAGCCAACACTGCCAAGCTGTTTTGTACTATGCCATTAGACAGAGAAGTTACCATGCGCTCTTAAACATCGAATTATTTTTTCAATTTTTCATTTTACCTGCACTCTGATTCATATTGCTTCTACACATACTTTGGCGACTGTTATTCAGTGATCGCTAGCGTATGAATTTAATGTCTTCATGGGCATATTTAAGCCGAAATCTGCTCTCAGCTTTATTCAGCCAAAATACTTGGTCTTGTGTAGTTGCTGAATGAATCCGTTTCGTTGTCATCTCTTTGTCAAAAAATATTTTTTATAAGAGAACGCTATCAGAATTTCTCTAAAGACACCTATCCATCAGATGTCGGTGAAACGTAATTTTTTTCGCACAAAACTGTATTCTCAGCTTCATTGTACATTGTAAAATTTGCTATGCTATTCGCCTTCGTTTCTTACTGTGCTTATGATTCGTATTGGACTACTCTTGTTGATACTGATATTTCCTAATAATGTTCATAGCTCTTTTGTACGGAGAGAAGTTTATACTCTAGGTCGATTTAGTTATGAAATCGTTCTTACCATTGTTTCTTAACCCGAAGTTCACGGCCTTCGCGCATAGTTTAGTTCGTTCAAATGTATTTTGGCGTTGTGAGTTGAACATTGATTCACATCAAGCTGATATTTTCACCCCACTGTTCAGTTCAGCTTAGATTCCATGACCGCTCTACCCTCGTATCGCGGAGGCAGACGCGTCAGACTCGGCTTACAATGTTTCCTATCCTGTGCCAGCGTTTGCGCTTCAGCAGAAGACAGTCAGAGTCTACAGCAGAGTCCTTCAGTACACCTGCCCAAGGTTAATCTTGACTGTCCAAGGGGTTTTCCGCCGGACGGTTGGGCCAGTAGTAGTTGCTTCGCCTTCCTATTTGGACTAATTCGCAGCACGTGCCAGACCGTCCCAGCTGTGGCTTCTCAATCTGAAGAAACAGCGGCTGTTCACTAAGGCTCTCGCAGATTTCTGTGCTCCGGACCATGTCGAGACACGTAAGGCGAGCGATTCATATCAGAAAGCCCAATTAGCCGCTTTTACCCTACATCGAAGTTTTTCACTTATGATCCACGACTCTTGACCTGAAATGTGCATGGGAGATGAAGAGCCACTTGAACATCGAGAGCTTAGTTTTCAGATTCAACTCTCCCTTATTCACAAAGATCCCGGATAGTTTACGCAAAACGCCGCTGGCTATTCCAATTCGCCGGTCGATCTCCTCAAATTTTCCATCTTCAGGAAACACGACCCTGATGTACTTGAACTTCTCCATTTGCTCCACTGCTTCTCCGTTTATCTTAAAAGAGCGGCGGGCGTGAGAAAGAGAAAGTACTAGGCCTTTCGATTTAAATACGTTCACAGCAAGCCGGTCACGTCACATTCGGCTGCGAAGCTTTCGAGAAAGCGCTGTAGATCAGTTTTAGAAGATGCCAACAAAACAAGGTGGTCTACAAACAGGAACCGTCTCGTCTCGACACTTGCAGGAGATGGGACAAAACGCAGCCGTGGCTGGGATCAGGGCTAAAGCTGAAAAGTTTCGACTTAACGCCATTTACTCTGACGCAGCACCTGCAATAATCATATAATGATTATATGGCTATCGATCCCATATGTTCGCAGGCATGCCCATAGATTGTTGCGCGGAATCCGGTCATAGGTCTTTTTTAGGTCTACAAAGCACATATCAACCAGATGGGCGAACTCCTACGATTTCTCAAGATTGTGCACAAAGCGAATATCTGGTCAGATGTGCTTTAGCCGGATCAGATGCCACACTGCTCTTCATGTATCTCTGAGTCAGTTATTCCACGCTACTTTTTTCTAGCGCTTTTGCCTGAACTTTACCCGATAGGCTCAATGAAGTAATGCCTCAATATTTGGAGCATTCCCTGTGGTCTCCCTTCTTGAATCAGAGTACAACTCCCGTTCTCCAGTCCCGCTGGTGTCTTCCCCGTAGTCATTGTAGTTTGACAGACATGTGTAAGCCAGCACATGCCTTGTTCGCCTAACGCTTTGAGCATTTCAGGGCGGATTTCATCAACTCCAGCAGCCTTTCCACGTTTAAAGCTTTTCACTGTTCATGTGATTTCATCTACAGAAATAGTAATATCATTTTCCTGCTACCCTGCCGACGAATCTTACTGCGGTTGCTCGGGGTTTAGGACTTCATCGAAGCACTCTCTCAGTCGCCGAAAAACGTCATCGTACTCTGTCAGAGGATGTCAAGGCCTCTCCTTCAAGATTCTTAGACTGTCCTTATTTTCACCTCAGAACTGGCGGATTGTCTGCCAGAATAGTTTGTATGCCGTGTGCAGATTCGATTCTGTCACTTCACCAAACTTCTCCCTGGAACCATCTTTGGGATTCGCCACTGCATTCGCTGCCGCTTTGCACGCTTTGACATGTTGCATGCGAGTTGAAGGTTTTTTGCTTCCAAGCCATTTCTTGAATGCAGCCTTCTTCTCATTAAGTGACAGTTTCACTTCACACCAGAAAGTTTTTTTCTGACCTCCAGGCGGCAGGCCAACCCGTTTATATCCGCGGCATTCGGCGGCAGCCTCGAGTATGCCGCTCTTAGAGAGCTGCCACTCAATTTCCGAATCAGTGGTCATTACCGGAATCTATTCAAACCTTCGTGCAC